GCTTTGCTAAGCTTGTTCTAAGTAGGTGCTTTAGACCACTGAGCCATCTCACCAGCCCCTAAAATTTTCAAAATTTAAAAATTTAAAAAACTGAAGATTTAAGCTCAGCACTCCCTGGACTCCTGTACAAAACAAAGCAAAAATAAAACAAAACAAAAACAATCTACTCCTTGAGCCAGACATGATGGTATTCTCCTGTAGACCCAGCACTCAGGAGCCTGAGGTAGGAAAATCATTTGAACCCAGCAGTTTGATACCAGTTTCCACAGCACAGTGAAACTCTGAGACCTGACTCAACAACAAAAACTCCTTTATCCTTGACCTTCCTCTGATCTTTCTTCCTACACCCCAGTGTTCTCTCAGTTCTCCCTTACAAAACACCAAAGACAGCTGAGTAAGTTGAAGCTTGCCTTCATTATTCTGGGTGCCTCTGAGAATCACAGGTAATGCGTCCTGGATCAGGAACCTTTAATTTCTCCTCTCCTCTCCTCTCCTCTCTTCTCCTCTCCTCTCCTCTTATCCTTTCTTTCTGTCTTTCTTTGGTCTTTTGACAGTTTTGCTATGCAGTTCAGGCTGCCTTTGAGCTCACTATATACCCCAGGCTGGCCTCAAACAATGATCCTCCTTCCTCAGCCTCTCAAGTGCTGGAATTACAGGCATGTGCCACCATGCCCGGATTCTCTCTCTTATTTTCTTAAGATAGAGTCTCAAACACACAGTCCTCTCACCTTAGCCTCTTGAGCACTGGGATTCTAGGCATACACTACCATATTCAGCATGTCTTTTCAAAAGGTCACTTGTTAGCCAAGCCACAAGGAAAGCAGGGTACATAGCAGACCCAGAAATCCCGGGGTTTGCTGGCTCTTATCAGCAGCTAGCCAAGCAATTTGAGTGCAACACTTTTTCTAGTCCTCTGAGTCCTTTGCTGCAGAGTGTGGAGTTGGCTGAGCCCTCTGTCCCTTTATATCAGGAACCTGGGATTCCTATGAGCTCCACTTATAATTTCCCTCTTCATCAACCAGCAAATATTTATGAATGCAAACACATGCTCAATCACC